CGAATTTGAGTTTGTTGAGTGATATTCTGATGACATATTGCATGTACAATTTCGATTTGGGTTCGTTTTATGTTTGAATTTTCTCGGTTTTTTCTTTTTTTTTGGTTTGTTCTTGATGATGTGAGAATATTATTTATTGTTATTTAATGTTATTTATTGTTATTTATTGTTATTTAATGTTATTTATTGTTATATATTGTTATTTGATGGTTTTAAGGATACGTACAAGGTATGAGTGATTGTCTCTCGCCGTTGTTGTTCGTCATGCAAAATGAAGTTGATGCATTCTGGGCGTTTGTTGGTCATATGAACCGTATTGTGAGTTGTTTTTTTTTTTGAAGTTTGTTTTTATTTCGAATTTGTTAATTTGCTTCCTCAGTTCTTAACTGTTTTGGCTTTCGTTTCGATTTCAGTTAATTTTGTGGACTTCAAACAAATTTTCGCAATCGAATAAGGTTCATTGTTAACGCTTATTGTTAGATGGAAAGCGATACTCTCACTTTTTTCAGCATGCAAATTTCGAATTCGATCAGTTGGCAATCAAGAAACAGTTGATGGATCTTCGTNAGTTGATGGATCTTCGTGATCTGGTGATGGTTGTGAATCCGAAATTGGCAAACTATCTTGGTGGGATTTTTTCGATATCCTTCATGATGTTTTATTTGAGATTGTATCTTTTTTTTTGTTGTCAGTGATGGAGGTGGACTGATATGCGCTTTTCAGAGAGTCACGAATCGGATGATATGTACTTCTGTTTCCGTTGGGTGTTGATGTGCTTCAAGAGGGAGTTTTGTTTCGATGACATAATGAGGTTGTGGGAGGTGAGTTGATTGTTTACTGATATTGATATTTTATGATTACGCTTCAATTTTATCATCAAATTTTTTATCAAAATATGCATTTATTCAATAGAAAATACTCCAAATGGTTTCCAGATGAATGAGTATATTTGTTTTTTTTTTTCTAAATGGAGGAATATAATTGTTTTTTCTAATGAGACCAAGGAGGGATATTCTTTGAAGCTTTCGTGTTGCTAAATTTTTCATCGAAAGAGAAATTATGGAAATATATTCTGTTCTCTTTAAAAGTTTATAAGCGTTCATTTATTCTTCTTTCATGAAAATATTCATTGAGTCGTACGTTGATTTTGTTTCATTTTAGGTTCTTTGGACCGATTTGCCGTGTAGGAACTTCCACCTGTTGATCTGTGTGGCGATACTCGATAAACAAATGAATTTCATAATCGAGAATAAATTCGGTCTTGTTGAAATACTTA